CTCACTGCAACCTTGGTCTCCTGGGTTATAGTGATTCTTGTGCCTCATCCTCCCGAGTAGCTGGGGTTGCAGGCAAGCGTCATCATGTCCAGCTAATCTTTGTATTTTTAGTAGTGAAAGGGTTTCGCCATGTTGGCCAGGCTGGTCTCGAACTCATGACCTCAGGTGATCCACCAGCCTCGGTTTTCCAAAGTGCCGGGATTACAAGCGTGAGCCACCGCACCTGGCTGGTGTTAAAACCTCATTCTGAACTGATTTTCTTAATCAAGTGGTGGTGTTATGGTGACTAGACTGTTCCAAGCTATATTCTTCTACCAACTCCCATAGGTTATAGGCACGCTGAGAATAATACATCAAAATACTTCCTATTTTATCTTGGCTTTATGAGAAGGCAGTTCTTAGAAATTGAGTTTTTTGGTAGAGAGAATATGTAACATGTATTCAGGATTTGCTAAATAACTTTAAACTAGCAAATTTAATTTTTTCAGGAAATGTATTGGCTTTACATATAAAAATGTGTTTTATAACTTTTGAAGCCTTATAGTTTTAATGGCTACCATATTTCACTTTTTAATAATTGCCTTTTGAAAAAAAATGCCATTATGAGAAATGTTCCAAAATACTCCAGATTCATCTGCCATTTTCTTTTCTTTTTTAAAAACATCTCCCTCACATAGGAACCACCTATCATTTTTAACCTGGAATTTTACAGAAATTCTGCATTGCTGCAGCCTACATTTGGCTTATAGACTTGAGCCAGAGGAATATTAAGTGGCCATAAGAGACTTTGATTACAAATAGAAAGCATTTCTATGCTGAAGATCTGGTGAGGGACAAAGTCTTCTAGTGAAGTTGCTGTGGGATATATCCGTACACATTTATTTTTTAATTTTAATTGTTAGAAGGTAGTGTTTTTTGCAGATTACTTAAACAATGAGACAGTGTTGAGATCTGTTGTATACCTGTCTGACTTAGCTTTTTATGTGAGAGTATTAGATTTTATTTTAAAATACTGTTAAAATAGCTATAGTATGTATTGTTAAATTTTCCATTGTATTTTTTGTTTAAACAGAAAAGAGCTATGTCCTTTTATTGTGTATTTAATTGCCAAACCTACCTCTCTCTTTAATACACTCTGTTCTTATTTATGTCTCTTCATTGTAATAGCCTACAGAGACCAGTTCATTTCTGGAGATGCTATTTGTCTCTTTGTTTCTTCTAGATTTTCTCTGCTTTCGTTAACTGCTCAACTAGTGTATGAATTCAGGACTGAAACTTGGTGTTCTTACTAAGCACAACTTAGCTGATTGGATTGTCTCCTTTCAGTCTACTCATCTGGCCTAGTTTTGCTATGAGTTTGAGGATTCTATTCTGTGATGAATTCAGATCAATTGTAAGCCTAGTTAATCCTGTCTTCTCCTGAACCCTTGGAAAAAGAGTAATTCTGAGGATGGCCCAGAGGTTAATGTCAGTCTCAGGCAAGGAGAATGTAGGCTACTGTATAGATCTTTGGAAATGATCTGTAGCAAAGATAAGTTAGTTGTTCAAACTATTGTACCCTGGGCCAAACCAAAAGTGGGCCTTGCCCCATTCTCTGAGGACAAGGTGCTAGGTAGTACTGCCCTAGCATTTACCTACAAGTATGTGTGTTGGCCATAACAAAATACCAGACTGGGCACCTAAACAACAGAAATTTGTTCTAGAAGTCCATGACAAGATCAGGCAGAGTTTGGTTTTGGGTAAGGGCTCTCTTGCTGCCTTGCAGATAGCCACCCTCTCACTTTGTCCTCACATGGCCTTTTCTCTGTGCTCCTTGGATGGGGGTGGGGGGACCTTTCTTCTCATAAGGCCACTAATCCCATCATGAAGGCCCCATAACCTAATCCAACCCTGAGTACCTCCCAAAGGCCTCATCTTCAAATGCTGCCCTGTTAGGGAATAAGGGCTTCAATACATGAATTTTGGGGGAACACAGACATTCAGCCCATCACAATATATGTACTTTTTCTTAGTGGAATTTTTAGAGTAGCAGAGTTACCTTTCCCCCAGAAGTGTGTCAGTTTGCTTGAAGTCTAAGATATTGCGATATACTAAGTTACAAGATGAAAGACAAATGTATTTCACTGAGTATGGTGGGTTTATATCTATCTATATTAGACATAGTTTCTTCCCTTGACATTTCCTTCTAAATACCCAGAATCCATCTTTTTTTCTTTCTCTAGTGCTACTGACATTTTGTTTTTCTTCCAGTAAACTTAACAATTCAAACGGAATGAAACTTGCTTGGGCTTTTATTTTGTAAGATTTTTATGGGACGTATTTGTCATGTTTTTAGAGGCAAAAAAAAAAAAAAGCTTGCTTTAATTTGCTGATACAGACATACATTTTACTTTAACAGGTATTTATTTTGTAATATTGATTACTACCATTGTATAGACATCTGAAGGTTATAAAACAAATGTAATTTTGTTCCTCAGCAACCTGTTTGAATCTTGTAACATATATTTATGACTCAATAAAATTTAGCTTTTATAAATTCACTATTGAGATAGTCTCCCCATGCCACAATTTCAAATAAAGGTTAAAACAAGTATTTATTCTAATAGGCTTTTCACAATTTTGTCAGATTATGTAAACTTTCGCCAGCCTACCAAATGTTGAGTAGCTTCCTACACGTATGACAGTCAAATTAAGTTCTTGAGCAGCAAATGTTAGTAATATGCAGGGGAAAAGTCGTTGCTTTCTAGATTCTAGTCTAGATTAGAACTGAATCTAGATTCTAGATTTCTAGTGTAAATTAAATTCTTTCATGCCCCTGGGTAAACCTGTATGTCCAGTTTCTTATCTATTTTAGATGGCTAAACTATGATAACTAAGCTATGTTTTGAGTTTTTTGTCTCAAAGCTTTAAAATTTACTTCCTGTTTTTATAATGAAACTTTATTGAATCTCCTAAGATATCTTTTTTTAAAACTAAAATTAAAAATATATGTGACTGAAGCTATTAATGAGGAAATTTCAGTTAAATTAAGACAATCTATGTAGTGTACCTATTTTAGAAAATCTCCCAATAATTCTAGAAAGATTTATCTTCGTTTGAATTTATTTTGAAATTTTCTGTTTGCCATGTAATATCAAATGTGCATTAAATGTCTCTACAACAAGTAGTGGTTGAATTTCATTTTAAAATAATAAAAGTAACCTTAAGATAGAGATGTAATTTGTTTTTTCCTCTTAATGCTTAAAATATTCCTCTGAATTTTTCTGTCTTAGGTACCGTTGTAATAAGCTTTATACCTCTACTATCTGTCTTTGAATGAAATGATAATATTTATATTTTCAAAGTAAATTTCAGAGTTATATTTTGAGGTAAAGAATTTTTTATATCAAAAGATAAATTACTAAAAGAAGCAAAGGAGCTGATGAAATATTTAAATGCATTATTCAGAAAAAACTTCTGTTCCATGTGGTCTAGATTTACAATTCTAGTGGGTACACATTATGCCAAGGTGATCTGTATTTCTTTACTTCAAAATTATGTACTAAAAATATTCTAAGCTGGGCATGGTGGCTCACACCTATAATCCCAACACTTTGGGAGGCTGAAACAGGAGGATCCCTTGAACTCAGGAGTTCCCTAGCCTGGGCAATATAGTGAGACCCCATCTCTAAAAAAAAAAAAAAAAATGGTGTGGTGGTGCATGCCTGTGGTCCTACTACTTGGGAGGCTGAGGCAGGAGGATTGCTTGAGCCTGGGAGGTCAAGGCTAAGGTGCGCTGTGATCATGCCATGCGCTCCAGCTGGGTGACAGAGTGAAGAAAGAAATTGGCCTAGAAATTTTCACTGAAACCTGGCACAGGCTTATCCTTTTTTTTTTTTTTGCTGGCCAGTGGTGGGGGGGTGGAGAGTGGGGATGGAGTTTCCCTCTTGTTGCCCAGGCTGAAGTGCAATGGTGCGATCTCAGCTCACTGCAACCTCCGCCTCCCAGGTTCAAGCAATTCTCCTGCCTCAGCCTCCCGAGCAGCTGGGATTACAGGCATGTGCCACCGTGCCTGGCTAATTTTGTATTTTTAGTAGAGACGGGCTTTCTCCATGTTGGTCAGGCTGGTCTCGCACTCCCGACCTCAGGTGATCCGCCCGTCTTGGCCTCCCAAAGTCCAAAGTGCTAGGATTACAGGTGTGAGCCACTGCACCCAGCTCTAGTCTTACCCATTTTTATAGTAGTATTCAAATTTGTATTGACAAAGGGGTGTGGGGGTGTGTGTGTGTGTGTGTGAATGAATGAATGACATGAGTGATATGTGTACTTACTTGTTTTGGTGGCTAGTCTAAAAGTTGTGTATTTTAAGACAAAAATGTATTTGTCACAATATTTATATTGATTATTAAATTTCTTTAAGATTTATTTACTTCTGCTCTGATACCTTAGGGTCTGCTACAGCAATCTATAAATTTTTTGTTGTAATATCTCTTTAGGATTGCAGTAAGATCCAAGTGAGTGGTCAATTTGTGTGTGTGTGTGTGTGTGTGTATGTATGTATGTATTTGTACTCCAAATGCTGTAAGGTGTAGGAAGAATCATTCTGCTTTTTTCTTTCTTCCTCTTTTAACTATTATAAAATATTTTCGTTTTATTTGTTTTCTACTAGTAAATTATTCCTTCTTAAATTAAAATTTGCATGGACTAGAAATAGCTCATTTTATGTTATGTCAGTTTTCAACTACCTTACAGTATACACATTATAAAAACAGATTTCTGTAGTACAGAATACAACCCAGCATCTGATTAGGTACAGATTTTCATGTGGAGGATGTTTTCTTGAAATAGATTTTTGCCTTATCTCATTCCATCTTTTGGGCATTGAAAAGAGCACTTTGGTCTTTTAACTCTATAATATACTGTTCTTCCCATCACTGTAAAAAATTGATGCATGGGTAAAAATATCTTTTTTATATTGCAAATAAATTGAGCTTGTTATAGTCCCCTCTCTTCATTTTCAGGAAGAGGCAGAAATCCAGGCAGAACTTGAACGTTTGGAAAGAGTCAGAAATCTTCACATACGTGAGCTGAAAAGAATAAACAATGAAGATAATTCACAGTAAGTCATTATTTGCATTTCACAGTTTTATATTATTAAAACTCCTCCTCCCCTCCCCGCCCCGTAGAGAGCGTAAACACAATATTTCCTTCTTGGGTTGTCTCATCGTACTTAGAAAAGATCCAAAGTCGTTCCCATGGCTTGGAAGGCCTTTTATGATCTGGTCCCGGGCCACCTAACTGTCCTCACGTCTCTTAAACATGTCAAGGGCATTCCCATCTCAGTGGGCTTTTGTGCTTACCATTTCCTTCGCCTGGATGTTCCTCCTCTAAACACCTAATTGGCTTAATTACTTATCTCACTCCAAATGTTCTTTAGAAAGGCCATTTTTAGACCACCGTATTTAAAATAGTAGTCCCTAGCCAGGCCCAGTGTTGCTCACCTGTAGTTCTAGCTACTCAGGAGGCTAAGGTAGGAGGATTGCTTTGGCCAGGAGTTCAAAACCAGCCTCGTCAACATAGTGAGACCCCCATTTCTTAAAAAAAAAAAAAAAAAAACCAATCTCTTCCTCTTCATATCCTCTTTTAGTATTGTTACCTTGCTTTACATTTTCACAATGTTGATCACTATCTGAAATTATAAATTTATTTTGTAGTTATTGTCTCCTCCCTCTAGAATGTAAGCTTCATGAGTGCAAGGACTTGGTTTTGTTCTTGCTGTATCCATAAAGCCTAGACCAGTGCCTGACATATGGCAGGCACTTAACAAATATTTGAATACCAAAGTTAATGTTATAGTAGTGCAGGAGAACTTATTTCAACCAAAAGTGTTTCAGTAAGCCATGTGTCCCACATTATGCAAGAATTGGGAGAGAAATGGAAAAGTAGAAGTTACAGTCTGTATTCTTAATCGGTTGTCAGAATGAGTGCCATAGACAGTACATGTTGAAGCAATTGAAAGAAAAGAAAATATCTGTGGGCTTGTGGTAGCTTCATGAAAAAGATAGAAATTGAGCAAGACATAGAAGTAGAAATTAAGCAAGGTACTACTTGTATTTAGCTGATGTAAAAGAGAGGAAAGGTTTCTGTTTACACTTCATCTTTAAGACTATTCATGTAGTTTAAAGCTTCATGAGTTAATACAAGTATCAGAATAGGAAGTGGCCAATTTCTGAGTGAAATAAAATCTTGCTTAGAAAGGCCTTCTTGTGATGTCTATGTATGTGTGTAATTCAGAAATACACAGATCATTCCATTGTGTGCAGGGAAAGAAATAATATAGTTATGGAATAACCTAAATTATGTCAGATTAAAATTCTAATGAAAGCCAGGTGTGCTGGCTTACGCCTGTAATCCTTGCACTTTGGGAGGCCAATGCAAGCAAATTACTTGAGCCCAGGAGTCGAAAACGAGCCTGAGCAAGGTGGAAAAACCCTGTCTCTACAAAAAATACAAAACTTAGCAGGGAATGGTGGCATGCACCTGTTGTCGCAGCTACTTGGCAGACTGAGGTGGGAGGATTGCCTGAGCCTGGGATGTTGAGCCTGCAGTGAGCCTAGATTGCACTCCAGCCTGAGTGATACAGTGAGACTTTGTCTCAAAAAAAAAAAAAAAGGCGAGGGGCCAGGTGTGGTGGCTCACGCCTGTAATCCCAGCACTTTGGGAGGCTGAGGTGGGCGGATCACTTGAGGTTAGGAGTTCGAGACCAGCCTGGCCAACATGGTGAAACCCCATCTCTACTAAAAATAAAAAAACTAGCCGGGCATTGTGGTGGGCACCTGTAATCCCAGCTAGTTGGGAGGGCTGAGGCAGGAGAATCACTTGAACCCAAGAGGCGGAGGTTGCGCCACGGCACTCCAGCCTGGGCAACAGAGCAAGACTCTGTCAAAAAAAAAAAGTGAGACTCTGTCAAAAAAAGAAAATCTAATAGAGCATATGGTACAAAACTAATTTAAGACTAACTGTTCTGAAAATTACATTTCAAATTTTGTGGATCTGACTTACATTGATGAAAATAAAATCAACTCTTACAGCTTTACAGTGTGGCTTGAAACGAAGCAGAAATTTCTTATATCTACAAGTTTCTCAAGAAAAAGCTTAAATTACTTAATCTGTAGTCAATTGATTTTGAAAAAAAATAATAAAATACAATGTATTTTGGCCGGGCGTGTTGGCTCCTGCCTGTAATCGCAGCACTTTGGGAGGCCGAGGCAGGGGGATCACGAGGCCAGGAGTTCGAGACCAGCCTGGCCAATATGGTGAAACCCTGTCTTTATTAAAAATACAAAAATTAGCTGGGCATGGTGGCACATGCCTACTGTAGTCCTAACTAATCAGGAGGCTGAGGCAGAAGAATTGCTTTAACCCAGGAGGCGGAGGCTGCAGTGAGCCTACATGAGCCAAAGCGAGTCTCTGTCTCAAAACAAACAAACAAAAAAAGCAGTGTGTTAGCATTGTAAAGCTAACATTGGTTTTTTTTTTTTTTTTTTTTTTTTTGAAAGTGTACATTTTGGAACCATAATTTTCTGCCAAGTCCTGCCTTTTATTAGCCGTTAAGCAAGTTACTTAACTTCTCTTTGCAGCAGTACTTTCATTTATAAAATAGACATAGTTATAAGACCTACCTCATAGGGTGAGTTGAAAACTGAATGAGTTAATACAGGTAAGAGCATACAACACATAAGTTGAACATCCCAGTTTTGGAAATCTGAAATGTAAACTGCTCTGAAATCTGAAAATTTTTGAGCACTGACATGACATTCAAAGGTCATGCACAAAGGAAATGCTCATTGGAGCATTTCAGATTTTGGATTTTCAGATTAAGGACGCTCAGTTGGCAGTATCCTAAAATAAAATTAAAAAAAAAAAAAATCCAAAATCGGAAACACTTCTGGTTCCAGGTATTTCAATAAGGGATACTCAGCCTATATACGGCAAGTACGATAAATACTAAATAGTAATAGTGGTAGTATTACCTATGAGTGTTTTTTTTTTTAATTTTAAAAAATCTTTTTAAAAATTGGTGGTTAATTTATTTTACAAAAGTCCAAAGACAGTAAAATTTAATGATGAAGGCCAGTTTATAATTGTGTTTAATCATATGTCCATACTGTAAAATATTAATTATAACTCCCAATATAAAAGTCTGTTTTTTCCAGAGAAGTGATTCATGCTGAGTACATAAAGGATTTTATGAAGCTCTTGGCAATGCAGTAATTGTTAGGTCTTTGTGAGAGTGCTATAATTGGTCATTGATCCTGAATATTGAGCTATAAAAGTTAAGTTTTGTGAGCACCAAAGCTTTAAGATGGGTAGTAGTTGTGCAGGTAGACTGGTAGAGAATGAAAAGAAATATTGAATGAAATTTGAAATTAGCAGTGGAGTAACTGAGAAATAAATAGCTAGGAGTAGAATAAGAGAGTAGAACTTCAATGTAGAAGGAATTTTTGTGTGTGTGTTTTAATATGTCTGTTTTTTCCCCTCACCCATAAGGTTCAAAGATCACCCAACATTAAATGAAAGATATTTATTACTTCATCTACTTGGTAGAGGTGGCTTTAGTGAAGTATATAAGGTAATGTAAATTTTATTCTGATTTTTACACTAATGTAGCAAGGATATAGGAGTATGTGGTTAAGAAGTACTTATGTTGGCTGGGCATGGTGGCTCACACATGTAACCCTAGGGCTTTGGGAGATGGGAGGGTGCCTGAGGCCAGGAGTTTGAGACCAACCTGGGCAACATAGTGAGACCTCGTCTCTACTAAAAAAAAAAAAATCAGCCAGGTGTGGTGGCGCACACATGTAGCCCCAGCTACTAGGAGGCTGAGGTGGGAGTATCTCAGAGTCCAGAAATTCATGGCCACAATAAGCTATGATTGCACCACTGCACTCTAGTCTGGGTGACACAGCAAGACCCTGTCTCAAAAAAAAAAAAAAAAAAAAAGAGGTACTTGTCTTTTGTTTATCGATTATATGTCCTCATTACAAAAAAAGGGTTTGTTGTGGCTTCTGTTGTCTTCTTTCCAGAATCCGAAGACTGCCACCTGCACAGTCCCTGTGATATTTGATACCTAGTCACCATTAACCAGTCCAATACAAAGAGTAGCAGCTATTTAAATCAAGATAGGCAGGTAGCCATTTAATACAGTACACTTGTAGAAAGATTGTACCCCTTAATTTAAAAACGTCTGAAGTATTAACATGTCCTGAATTTATCCAAATTTCTACCTATGTCAAGTCTGTTTCTCAAATGCATATGTATAAATGTAGGCATTTTTACTCCCCATGTTCACTATTTTATACCTTTCTTTCTTTATTTTTTTGTACTTTACGTTGTGTCTTTTAGTGTAACCTTTAAATATTGGATTCCTAAGGTCCCTTTTATCATTCTGTATTCTCTCTTAAGAAGGTTTTTATCCTCTTTCATTCACTGGGTTGTCTATTTGTTGTCACCCCCAGGTGATACACAGCTCACACTTTCTGAGCTCAGTACCTCAAAGTGTGTTTGTATACATGACTTACCTCATGTGGGTGCTTCGTAGGTACTGGAAACTCACATTTGAAATAGAAGTTGTCTTCCTCTCCTTTAAAATGCCTTTTAACACTGCTTCTGACTTCCCTGACTTCAGTATATAACATTGCCATTCATCTGTGTGGTCCCTCAAGTGAAAAAAACACAAAAACCATCGTATGCTCTTCTTTTCCCTTTATTCCCTTGCCCTCACATATTATAAGTCCCTAGTTCCTGCTATTATTAATGTCATTAAGTTCTCCTAATTCAGCCATGACCCTTCCCTTCTGTCTCTTAGCTCAAGGCTTCTTCCGGAACCTCATAGCTGATTGTCTTCTTTTGGGCGTTGCTTTTCTCAAGTCATTTTGTACACTGCAAATAGAGTAAACTTTTTATAAAAGGCAACCTGATCATCTGTCCTACTTAAAAGCGCCAGTAGCTTCCCATTTGCTCTTAGAATGAAGTCCTAGTGAAGGGTATATGCTCATCTTTAATTCCTCTAAACAGCTTCCCTGACCCTCTGCATCTTCTCAGATAGATTTGGTGTATTTGATAGTATTACAGATTCCTTGTAATACTTTGTGCTTCATTACATATTGGCATAGTTGGTTAAAAGCTTTGGTTCTGAAGCCATACAGCTAAGTTTAAATCCTGACTGCTATTGACTAATTTTATTAATTTGGGCTTATTATTTAAATCTCTGTCTCACGTCTCCTTCTGGGAATAGTAACAATACCTACATTATAGCGTTGTTGCAGTGATTAACTGAGTTGTCACATGTAAATCACATAGAACATCTAAGATAAGCTAATAAGATTATTAGAAATCTTGCCTGTTGGCCATGGCTTATACCTGTAATCTTAGCACTTTGTGGGGCCAAGGCAGGCAGATTGCCTGAACTCAGGAGTTTGAGACCAGTCTGGGCAACATGGTGAACCCCTGTTTCTACTAAAAATACAAAAAAAAGTAGCTCGGCATGATGGCACATGCCTGTAGTCCCAGCTACTTGGAGGCTGAGGCATGATAATTGCTTGAGCCTTAGAGGTGGGAGGTTGCAATGAGCCAAGATTGTGCTACTGCACTCTACGCTGGGGGACAGAGGGAGACACTTTCTCTCAGAAAAAAAAGGAATCCTGACTGTTGCATGGGTCAAAGACTATGCCCTTCTCGCTTCTGGTTCTGAGTTGGAAAAATGGGATTTAGATTAAGAGAACTTCAGTTTTGGTATCAGTTCAACCATGCACTATTTTTTGTTATTTTGTTAACTTAGATAAGCATTACATGTCAGGGTCCTCACCTTCCTCATTCATCAAAAGTGATCTTTGAGCTCTCTTCCAATTCCTGTTTCTCTGATTCTAATAATAGTTTATCCTTAAGAACTTAATGGGTGAAGTAGGCTTAACATAAGGTAGAAAAGATTATCATGGTAGTTCAGCTGGAATCTAAAAGTCACTAAAAGTGCAGTTAGCATTAGCGTGGCCTAAAAGTTGTTGAGCTTATGAACTTACCATGAGCCTTCATAACAGCCCTTTACCACTGCCTGGTTGTATTTTAAATAACTATTTTAGCCTCATAGGTAGGACTTTTGTAGAAGAGGCTTACATAGAGATTAGAAAGTGCAGATTGGGGCCCAGTGACTTGAACTTTCTATACTGACCTAAATACTAGTGACATCATTCTGTAAGCCCTTTAAAGCCCTTTCATGATTGCCAGGTCTGTTGGAAAACAGCCAGACAAAAAGCAGATTGTAAGTCAAGAAGTAAAGAGTTGTATTTTATACCAAGGTGGGAGATGTTGAGTCAGTTGCTGAGTGATTGCCATATTAATCTTATGGAAAGGTTTACTTCTACTCACCTGAAATTTTGGGAGGATGATGTGTTATATATAATTTATTATAATCAGTATACTCTGATAATAACTTTTTATTGGTTATATACTTAGTTTTTTCTTCAATTATCCTTTATTATGATTGCCTTTGAATTTAATTCTTTATAGATTTGTTCTGCCTTGTCCCTTACATAAACTTATTTTATTTTTATTCTTTTTAGTTTCTTTACACTTAACCTTTGATAATAATATGTAATTAGCTAATGTTTCTTGGCTGTACCATGTATTGTTCTAAACACCTCATATGTTTTACCCCATTTAATCCTCTCAATAACCCTAACTTTTGGGGCTCAGAGAGGGTATTAGCACAGAGTCACTCAGTTAATAAGCTAATCTGATTGCAAAGAGAATATTCTTAACAACTGTATGCTGTATTATATCTCATCTCATACTTTTATAGTTTTGTACCAAAGTAGTCACTTTACTGTTTATCCCCTCCTGCTTATGTTTAGGTTAAATTGATGGGAGGGAATGGGTACCTTCTTTCTAATAAATACGTAAACTTTTAAGTGAAAGGGGCACCTTTCTGTATAAATCACAATAGAACCAAAATTATTAAATGTCTCTTTAATAGTATTCATTGTTTAAAAAAAAAACACAAGTCATATAAAGCTGTTAAAACACTGATCATTCTGTGTTTTTAATTTAAGAAATAGGCTGGTGATTTGAACAAATGAAGTATAAATTCTTTTTGAGACAATCAGGGAAAATTGAAGACAGGTTAGGTATTAGACGAGATTAAGGAATTATTACTGATGTAGTTAGGTGTGATAATGATATGTGGTTATTTTTATTTAAATACTGATGTGTTTACTAGGAGGAAATAATGTATTTGTTTTAATAATACTCTGGTTGAGGGGGTGGGATGCAAGGGTAGTAGGGAATAGATGAAACAAGAATGGCAAAATATTGATAATTTTTGAAACTGGGTGGTGGGGCGTAAGGGCACATTATAGTAGTCTACTTTTGTATATGTTTGAACAGTTTTATAATAACTGTAGAATTTTTTTTCAACAGTTGGAAAAATAACTGTTAGGAACTATTTAATTTTTCTAAAAAGTGAAAAAGAAGTAGGGCATTGCTAGGAAAAGATAGATTTAAGAGGTTTTATCCGACCTAAAAAAAAGTGGTACAGTCTGTTTTCCTGGCTGCTTACTACCAGTGTAGAGGAATAAATCCATATTAAAAACCAATAATAGCTTTATTGTTTTATTTCTATTCAGTATATTGGCATTTATAAAATTTAATGTGAAAATTCACATTAAGGTTTTTTCTGATTTATTACCATGGAATTTCTGTCTTCTGATAATAAAAGTGTCATTGAACTATATATAGTCTTAGCAGAGAAGATAATTAATAATTGTAGGGTTTGTCCTAGTTCCATATTATTGCAAAAATTATCACCAAAATAAAAAACATCTCTTCAGGTATTCAATTGGTCTTTCATCTTAATTGTGTTTGACTTGAAATCCTAGGCTTTTGACCTATATGAACAAAGATATGCTGCTGTGAAGATACATCAGCTTAATAAAAGCTGGAGAGATGAGAAGAAAGAAAACTACCACAAGTAAATACTAATACTTTATGGTTTTTTTTAATTGAATATTTTTTGAATGGTCATGGAGAATTAATACACTGTCTTCCCGTAGACATGCCTGCAGAGAGTATAGAATACATAAAGAACTGGATCACCCCAGAATAGTTAAACTCTATGATTATTTCTCCTTGGATACAGATACGTAAGTGAATATTAAGGTTTAATTTTTAAGGAAGGATATGCTTACTCTGTCTTTCCCCATCCTGTGTTGATGATATAAATACTCTCCATTTCCCCATTGTGATTCTGAATTCTTGGATAATACTTATGTCTAATTTCTTTTCTCTTCTCTGTTGTAGGTTTTGTACAGTGTTAGAATACTGTGAAGGCAATGACTTGGATTTCTATCTGAAGCAACACAAGTTAATGTCAGAGAAAGAAGCTAGGTCTATTGTAATGCAGATTGTAAATGCACTAAGATATCTCAATGAGATCAAACCCCCTATTATACATTATGATCTTAAGCCAGGTAATTATGAAATTTGTCTAATTTTTTTTAAAACGAGTATAGTTTTTAAAAGTCATTAAGTTATCTGAAAACATGATTTTTGGTTTCACTTTTAAGACATCAGTAGAATACTAGTAAAATTTAAAGTTACTAAAGTTATGTTTTTCATGTATGTATCATTAAAATAATCTTATATTTTATTCTTAGGAAACATCCTACTGGTAGATGGAACAGCATGTGGTGAAATCAAAATCACTGATTTTGGTCTGTCCAAGATTATGGATGATGATAGCTATGGTGTAGATGGAATGGATCTAACTTCTCAGGGGGCAGGCACTTACTGGTAAGTATATTACTAAAAACATCAGAATGTCTAGATTAGTGCCCAGTGCTTTTATGATAAAATTTAGTTTTTTTTTTTCCATGTGGCCATTAAGATTACTGTGGTAAAAGGTACTGATATTAAACTCTCAGTTGAGAGGGAGACTTCTGTGGTCATTCCTCTTCTCATCTGTTCTTACTGTAAATAACAGCATACTGGAGAGAGAATGACTTGGCATTAACAAGTGACTTCAGTACCTGCCAGTCAGAAACTCCTAACAGGAAGAATTCATTCATGGGTTTTCTTCTACAATGTTAAGGTGATGTTTATCATAAATATGAATACTTACGTTAATATAATATTTTAACTATTGCAAGCAAAAACTGCAAGCATCAAGCCCTCTCTGTGGAGGTTATATGGTTGCAGGGATTTTCGTTTTATTTTGAGACAGGGTCTTGCCCTATCACCCAGGCTGGAGTGCAGTGGTATAATCTTAGTTCACTGCAGCCTCAAACTCCTAGGCTCAAGCAATCTGCCCACTTACTCTTGAGTAACTGAGACCACAGGTACGCACCACTATGCCCAGCTAATCTAAATTTTTTGTAGAGACAAGGTCTTAATTTGTTGCCTAGGCTGGTCTTGAACTCCTAGTATCAAGTGATCTGCCTCTCCCAAAGTGCTTGGATTAGAGACATGAGCCACTGCACCTGCCTGGTGGTTTTTGTGGAAGATGGATGTTTTGTTGGTTGTGAATGGGAGATAAATTTGGCATATTCTTTGGACTTGACTTTCAGAAATCCCTTTTAAAGACTTAGTATGTATAGATTTAAATTTAGATATAATCACAGATTCATAGATACAAATCTAAATGACTGTCATCCCCCTCAGTATACCTACGTGTTCACAAAAACTGCTTCAGCGTGAATTTTCAAACTTGTTAAATTCACCAGAGTGGAGAACGTAAACTATAAAATTTCAAAACAAACTTAATTCTCAGAGAAAATTAGCATAAACAGTGACATTTTAATGGGAAGAAAGATAACTGCATTCAAGTTCATTGAAACGAGATTGTGACTACGAACATAAATGTGACCTCAGGTTTTCCAGAACAGTGTTCACACAGCCTGAGCACATCATAACCAGTTACACATGATGCCGCTGGTCTGTATAGATATCACTTTTAATGAGCAGGGATTAGTCATATTTGTGTATTCTTTTAAAGCCACTTTAAAATTTTAAATTTGGCTTGTGGCATTTCCTAGGAACATGGATAAGATAAGAATGTCATGAATTTTTTGTTCATATTTTAAGAAAACTATTCAAACTGCTAACCCCCTGAAAGTCAATATTCTCAAAGTCTTTGGACTTTTTTAGCAACAAGGCTCTTTTTTTTTTTTTAACAACAAAATCTTACTCTAATCAACAAAACCAACAAAAACAAAGCATCCTGGTAGATTCTTAGATTCCATGGAAGATAGCTTGAAAACCATGTTCTAAATAATAAATTATTCTTCCTCTATAGGACATTCTCAATATTTGTTTCTCTCTCACTCTGGCTTCACTAGTATAGGGAAGGACAAGGAAATTTCCCTTTTACAGATAGTCAAGAGACAAAGACCTTATGTTTTAGGGGCTGTACTGGAAGGAGATACAATGATGGCATTGTTATATAAGGACATGGAATGTATTTCTCAGGGAAATCTGTGGTCCAAAAATTGGTTTATGTCTACAGTCATATTAGTTGTTTAGCTGTGTACAGCTGACCTTGAATAAAATGGATTGGAAATGCATGGGTCCACTTTTATGTGGCTTTTTTTTTCGATAAATACATTGGAAAATTTTTTGGAGATTTGCAACAATTTGAAAAATCTCACTGACGAACCATGTAGCCTAGAAATATTGAAAAAATTGCCTGGAGGTGGTGGCTCACGCCTGTAATCCCAGCACTCTGGGAGACTGAGGTGGGCGGATCACTTGAGGTCAGGAGTTTGAGAACAGCCTGGCCAACGTGGTGAAACCTCGTCTCTACTAAAAATACTGAAAGTACAAAAGTTAGCTGGCCGTGGTGGCGCATGCCTGGAATCCCAGCTACTCGGGAGGCTGAGGCAGGAGAATTGCTCAAACCCGGGAGGCGGAGGTTGCAGTGAGCTGAGATCATACCACTGCACTCCTGCCTGGGCGACAGAGCAAGACTCTGTCTCAAAAAGAAAGAAAGAAAAAGAAAAAAAATACTGAAAAAATTAAGAAAAAGATATGTCATGAAGGCATTAAATTAATGTAGACACTCATCTGTTTTATCATTTACTGCCGTAAAATGTACACAAATCTATTATAAGAAGTTAAAATTTATCAAAACATGTATACAAACACAGACTGTACCTGGTGCTATTTGCAGTTGAGAGAAATGTAAACAAAAGTAAAGATGCCGTATTAAATCATAATTTCATAAAATTAACTGTACCCATACTGTGTACTGTAATAATTTTGTAGCTATGTCTTGTTACTGTTGTAAGGAGCTCAACTGTTTTGAGTATCTGTTTAAAACATTGTGATGCTAATCTCCTCCATGTGAGCAATTAATCTCTCCAGTAAAAGGCCTATCAGAGTAAAAAGTAATCTCTCGTGATTCTCAAATATTTTTCATCATGTTTAGTGCAATATTGTCAACCTTGAATAACACCAGTAATGCTGGAAGTGCTCTTAAGGAGCAGAGAAAAATCATGACATTACAAGGAAAAGTTGAATTGCTTGATATGTACCATAGATTGAGGTATATAGTTTGGATTGAGGAATAGTTGCCCACCATTCCAAGATAAATGAATTCAACAAAAAGATCATTGTTTAAAAAAAAGAAATTTGTAAAGCTGTCTCTGCAGGTATGTCAGCAGGCACAGAAACCTTGTACTTTTTGCAAAACACCGTTTTGTCTCTAGTTGAAAATGCAAGCCGTGCATGGTGGCTCATGCCTGTAATGCCAGAACTTTTGGGAGGCTGAGGCAGACAAATCACTTGAGCCTGAGAGATGAAGATCAGCCTGCGCAACATGGCGAAAGCCCATCTCTACATAAACATACAAAAATTAGCCAAATGTGGTGGCACATGCCTGTAGCCCCAGCTACACAGGAGGCTGAGACAGGAGGATCATTGCTTGAGCCTGGGATGCGGAGATTGCAGTAAGCCCAGATTGCACCACAGCACTCCAGCCTGGGTAACAGAGTGAGAACCTGTCTCAAAAGAAAAGGACAAAGAAATGCAGCTTTTTGGGTGCATGATACCCATAGACTGTAATGTGATTTTAGAAAAAACAAAGAGATTATATGACAATTTTAAAGCAAAAGGAAGGTGAAGGATCTAAAGCTGGAGAATTTCATGCCAGTAAAGGATGGTTTAATAATTTTAGAAAGATGTTTGACTTTAAAAATGTCAGGATAACAGGAGAAACAGCTCCCGCCACCCAAGAGTTCCCACATGTTATTAAGAAAACAGTTGAGGCCGGGCGCAGTGGCTCACGCCTGTAATCCCAGCACTTTGTGAGGCCGAGGCGGGCGGATCACGAGGTCAAGAGATCGAGACCATCCTGGCCAATGGTGAAACCCCATCTCTACTAAAAATACAAAAATTAGCTGGGTGTGGTGGCGCGTGCCTGTAGTCTCAGCTACTAGGGAGGCTGAGGCAGGAGAATTGCTTGAACCCAGGAGGCAGAGGTTGTAGTGAGTGAGATCACGCCACCGCACTCCAGCCTGGGCAACAGAGCAAGACTCGGTCTCATTCGTGAATGAATGAATGAAAAAGAAAAAATAATTGAGGAGAAAGGATAGCTGCCTGAACAGATAATTTAATGCAGACAGAAGTGCCTTATTCTAGAAAATAAAAATGTCACAGAGGACATTTATATTTGTAAGGAAGAGAAATTTGATTTGATACAGGAAGGGACAGGCTAACTTTGCTGTTTTATGCAAATGCAGTTGGGTTTATGATCAGGACTGCCCTTATCTATAAAGCTGCTAACTCTGTAGCCTCAAACAGAAAAGATAAATACCAGCTGCCAGCCTTTTGCCTATACAACAAGGAGGCCTGGACAGTGAGAACCCTTTTTTTTGGGTTGGTTCCATCAGTGCTTTGTCCCTGAAGTCAGGAAGTACCTTGCCAATAAGGGACCACCTTTTAAAGTTCTTTGATACTGGACAATGCCCCTGGCCACCTAGTAGCCCATGAGTTTAACACTGAAGATATTGAAGCCATCTACTTGTTCTCAAACAAAACAATATCTCTAATTCAGCCTCTAGATCAAGAGGTCTTAAGGACCTTTAAGGCTCATTACACATGATACTCTATGGAAAGGATTGTCAGTGCTGTTAAAGAGGACCCCAGTAGAGAGAACATCATGAAAGTCTGCAAGGATTACACAACTGAAGATGTCATCATTGTTTTAGAAAAAGCCATGAAAGCCATCAAGCCTGAAAGAGTACATTCCTGCAAGAGAAAACCGTGTCCAGATGTTGCGTGTGACTTCACAGGATTTATGACAGAGGCAATCAAGGAAATCATGGAAGAGACTATAGATATGGCAAAGAAGGTGGGGTGAAGGGTTTCAAGATATGGATCTTGGAGAAATTCAAGAGCTAATAGACACCCCTCCAGAGGAGTTAAGGTGACTTGATGGAGATGAGTGCTTCCAAACTGGTACCAGATGATGAGAAAGAAGTAGTAGAAGAGACACTACCAGAAAACAAGTTGACATTAGACAGCCTGGCAGAAGGGTTTCTATTAGTCAAGACATTGCTTTTGACTTTTATGACATGGACCCTTCTATAATACAGGCACTGAAACTAAAGCAAATGGTGGAAGAAGGATTGATACTATATGAAAAAGCAAAACAAATTATGATGTATGTCTGTAAAGTTGCACTAAGTGTGTCTGTCTCCCCTTTCATCTCTTCCCCCTCTGCCACCCCTGAGACAGCAAAACTAACCCCTCCTCAGTCTACTCAACCTAAAGATGACAAGGATGAAAACTTTTGTCATAATCTACTTTCACTTAATGAGTAGTGATTTTCTCTTACGATTTTTCTTAATAGCAATTTTTTCCCTCTGGCTTACTATAAGAATTTGGTATATAATACAGCATAGAAAATATGTGTTAATTAACTGCTCATGTTATCAGTAAGTCAACTTCCAGTCAACAGTGGGCTATTAGTAGTTAACTTTTTTTTTTTTTTTTTTTTTTTTTTTGATGGAGTCTTGCTCTGTCACCCAGGCTGGAGTGCAGTGGCACGGTCTCAGCTCACTGCAACCTCTGCCTCCCAGGTTCAAGCAATTCTCCTGCCTCAGCCTCCTGAGTAACTGGGATTACAGGCACCCGCCACCATGCCTGGCTAATTTTTTTGTATTTTTTGTAGAGACAGGGTTTCACCATGTTGGCCAGGCTAGTCTTGAACTGCTGACCTCGTGATCCACCCGCCTCGGCCTCCCAAAGTGCTGAGATTACAGGCCTAAGCCACCACACCCAGCCTAGTAGTTAACTTTTTAACTTTTTAGGGAGAGTCAAAAGTTAGACATGTGGCCAGGCACGGTGGCTGACTCACGCCTCTGATCCCAGCAGGAAGACCACTTGAGCCCAGGAGTTGAAGACCAGCCTGGGCAACATAGCAAGACCTTGTCTGTATACATTTTTTTAAAAAATTAGCCAGGCATGGTGGTGTGTGCCTGTGGTCCAGCTAATTGGGAGGCTAAAGTGGGAGAATCGCTTGAGCCTGGGAGATCGAGGCTGCAGTGAGCTGTGATCGCACCACTGCACTCCAGCCTGGGCAACACAGTGAGACACGGTCTCAAAAAAATAAATAAATAAAAATCATACATGGATTCTTAACTGCATGGGTCAGTGCCTCCAACCCTTATATTGTTCAGGGGTCAACTGTATTTGATATATTTGGATAGCACTGTACATACTCGTGTATTTTAGAATATACATATAATATTGCTCTTATAAATTACCTTTCATCCTCACAAGCTTAAAATATTTAGTTTTGTCTCTCTGGTCTCAAATTCTGGTGAACATCTTTTCCCAAGTTACTTTGACATCAATTTCTGTGGTTGCTCTCCTTGCATGCATACACCTCGTGCCTGGAGAGAGTATAGCTTAATGTTTACAAGCCATTCCTGTTTCAGTTACACACATAGACACCTGCATAAAATACACAGTTTTATTGATAAAATAAATCCAGCTTTTTACTACATTACAAGTGAGTTATTGGTTATCTTTGATAGTTTTACTTCAAGGAAGTTTCATGTGTTTTTTAAGAGATCTGTCAACATCCTGCTGAAATCTTACTGATTTTAGCATAGTGAATACAAAACTGCATTTTAAAAAAATAGAGTAAATTCCCATTTTGAGTTGTGAGATGCTTGCATCCCTGATGGATCTTTTACTTATAACTGGAGATGACAGATTGATTTTTACCCTTCATCTGTTAACAATTATGAACTGGCTTAGTGCGGTGGCTCATGCCTGTAGTCCTAGCACTTTGCGAGGCCAAGGCGGGCAGATCACCAGCTTGGTCAACAGTGCAAGACTATCACTACAAAGAAGAAAATATTAGCTGGGTGTGCTGGTGCACGTCTGTAGTCCCAGCATTCCGGAGGCTAAGGTGAGAGGATCACGCGAGCCCAGGAGTGTGAGGCTGCAGTGAGCTATTAGCGTAACACTGTACTCTAGCCTGGGTGACAGAGTGGGACCCTGTATCAAAAAAAATTATGAACTTATAAATAGGACATAGATATTTTTAAAATAGTAATTTTGAATATCCATTGTGTTTCAGACACTGCTAGTGCTTGAAACTGCGCAGTGAATAAGTTCCTGGAGCTGCTCACAGTCTGGTGTGATTGTAGTTGAATGCCGTAATAGAGGCATTGCACCATTCTGCAGTAACACGGAGAAAAGCAGAGCCACCTGGGGAGAAGCAAAAACGGCTTATGGGGATTGGGTGGGTCTTGAAGAAGAAAAGATGCTAAGTAATTGGAGTGATTAGGGAAGGAGTAGTGATTGTCATATTCAAGAGCTCGGAGGATAAAGGAGAGCCGAGTGAGGACGCAAGTGAATTGGTTTTGATTAGCCAATTTGGCGGGTTAGGGTGGGGGAAAATAGTGTGTGCAGATTTTGAAAATGTATGTTGTTGCCAGATTAGCATGGGTCTTGTGTTACAAACAAGAGATACAAGGTCTTGTTGGCAGTAAGTGCTGTCGAGGTTGTTTGAACAAAAGAACCACATGATCTGGTGTATATTTTAGGGAGAGAAGTGCCTACAGTTTGAACAGTAGTTAAAGAGGATGGGAGAGGATTTCTTCTATTATTAGATACTCCAAATTAGACCATTGTAATCTCTCTTAAGTTTTTGTTTCTGTAGGTAGGTAGGTAGGTAGGCAGGCAGATTAGATAGATAGATAGATAGATAGATAGATAGATAGATAGATAGATAGATAGATAGATTAGATAGATTAGATAGATAGATAGATAGATAGATAGATAGATAGATAGATAGATAGGATAGAGGTGAACTTTATCACAATGTTGTATGTGTTGGCTCTAGAGTTAAATGATAAAAGAATGTAAATGCTCCAGAAGTTCAGTTGATGATTTTCACTGATGGGAGTCCTAGAGTTTATGTATGGATAAAATTAGTGTTCTAAGATTTTACACTTAGAAGATTTTAAGTTACAGATTGTCAGTAGTAACCTTTCCTTTTTTCTCTCCCACAAAACTTATAGGTATTTACCTCCTGAGTGTTTTGTAGTTGGAAAAGAGCCACCAAAGATTTCCAACAAGGTTGATGTATGGTCAGTTGGAGTCATCTTCTTTCAGTGTCTTTATGGTAGAAAGGTAAATTCAATTCTGCTAGCCTTCAGCTATACATTGATAAATTAAGTTGAATTTTTCCTTCTTAAAAGCAAAATTTCACTAACTCAAAGTCAATTTAAATCCTTCTAAAGAAAGCCAGGCTTCTCCTCTATTTCTTCCTAAAATTTCCATGGATCAGAATTTATTTTAATGTCACACCAGTTTACTTGACCTGCTTTTTGCTTTCTTTCCCTTTTTTAAAGAAAAGAAGTAACTATCTGTTAACATGCTAATATTTGTCTACCATTGGGAATACTGGAGTCAATACTTTTCATTGTCCACTATTCACTTGACCTCCTCTTACACCCCCCACCCCACCCACACACACAGTTTGGCCTGGGTGGTCTGTTTCCCCCTGTTGCTTGTCAGGGAGATACCATCAAAGTTAGTCTTAATTATTTCCCAACATTTTTATATTGAAGTTGGAAGTACAGGTTACCATAGATATTATCTAGCCCACATCCCACCCCATCCCTTCATCAATAGGGGAAGAGAGGTTAAGGGATTTGTGTGGGATCGCCTCACTCCACATCCAGAGCTCCTTCATTTAAATTCGCCTGTGATACACAAAGTATTTGATCTTTGGAAATTGTCATAGGTATTTTCATTACTACTTCATCTCTTCTCTAATTGAACTTCATTGTTTAAGCATTCAGAATAAAGTTTTAAATTTCTTTTTATGTTTTTATCTTATATTGCAACAGCATTATTTTCTTCTTCTTACAGTGTTTAATCTATGTTGAAGATTGATTAGATAGGCTTTCTTGGCCTGCTATCAATTATACCTTGTTTGTATGAGAATTCATCTCAGGTTTCAAATAACTGAGGAAAATTTTGGAACACAAAATATTTGGATTTTGGATTTTGGGAATTCGCTTAGACAGAAATGATATCTGTGTTTAAATATTTTGTGAGAAAAATATCTCAACCTTTAATTTTTTTTTTTAAGCCATTTGGTCACAATCAGTCTCAACAAGACATTCTTCAAGAAAATACAATATTAAAAGCCACAGAAGTCCAGTTCCCTGTAAAACCTGTTGTAAGCAGTGAAGCCAAGGTATTAAATTTTTGTAAATGAGTTTTGTGAAGTAACTTTTCTTTCATCAGTTTTGCTGACAACAAGGTAAGTACTTTCCAAAAGTAAGTAAAGTCACAAGACTCGCTGCTGCAGGGGATCTGTCCGGCAGGAGCTGGTGATTTACTTTCAGAAAAGGAGTTGCATCAGCCTCTGGTTGCTACAGTTTTTATCTTTTAAGCAGCCAAATATGGTCCCTATTGTCTGTGTTCCTCAGCTGCTACTTTGAAAATTAGGGAAAAATCACAAGATCTGGGCTCATCATAACCTTTTATGTATTATGTATCTGCTTATGTTAATACTGAGATAGTATAAGTATATAAGAAATATTAAAAGTAATAATAGGGCCGGGCGTGGTAGCTCACACCTGTAATCTCAGCACTTTGAGAGGCCAAGGCGGGCAGATCATCTGCCGTCAGGAATTTGAGACCAGCCTGACCAATATGGTGAAACCCCATCTCTACTAAAAATACAAAAAGTAGCTGGGCATGGTGGCACATGCCTGTAATCCCAGCTACTGGGGAGGCTGAGGCAGGAGAATCACTTGAATCTGGGAGGTGGAGGTTACAGTGAGCTGAGATCATGCCATTGCACTCCAGCCTGGGTGACAGAGCGAGACTCCGTCTCAAAAAAGAAAGAAAAAAAAAGTAATAAATACCATTTATTTTAGTGCTTTTATATACATTATCTTGTAACAGCCTTATGTTGTAGGTACTTTTGTTATTCCCATTTTATAAAAGAGGAGAACAGCCATGCCATGGCAAAAGGACCTTGTTCAGGATCATACCGGCTAGGAGGCAGCAGAGCTACGGCTCACAAGTATCTACTCCTCCAGACTCCAAAGTCCACAGCCTTGACCTCTGTACTGCTCTGTATTAGCTCTTGAGAGCTAATCCAGTATAATCCATATGTCTGTATAATAAAATTACAGGAAATAGCTATTTCTAATTAATAGCAAAACTTTTTTGGTGTTCAGTATCTTCCTGCCTTCATCCTATTGGCCTTTTGTGTTTGTGTTTTTATTACTCCTCTGTTGCATTCATCACAAAGCTCTTTTCTCTGTTTGTAGGCTTCTCTTTTCTAAACCTGGTCAAATTCATAAGACAAACCCAAGAAGCTCCTATTTTTTTCTTGTGTGAATAGTGCAGGCCATAAGAATAATTCATAAACAAACACTATATAGTTTCTATATTCTCTTATTCTTACATAGTGCAGATACATACTGTGAGATGTTTGGGGTCGTAGTAACCTACCTAATTGAAAATATGCTGAGTTTTGTGTAATCTCACTGATTGTGTTTATTAGAACTGTCCAGCATTCCATTTTGTCTATCTTTATTGGTTTTTTGTAAATTATTTGAATGGTGGTTAGAACATTTTGACAATTAAAAAGATAAATATAGGCCAGGCATGGTGGCTTACACTTGTAATCCCAGCTCTTTGGGAGGACAAGGCAAGATGATCACTTGAGGCCAAGAGTTCAGGAACAGCCTGGGCTGTAACATAGGGAGACCCCATCTCTTAAAAAAAAAAGGGGGGGAGCTAGGCTTAGTAGCTTATGCTATAATCTCAACACTCTGGAGGCAGAGGTGGTTGCTTGAGCCCTGGGGTTCAAGACCAGCCTGACCAACATGGCAAAACCTGGTCTCTACCAAAAATACAAAAATTAGCCAGGCATTGTGGTACACACCTACAGTCCCAGCTGCTTGGGAGTCTGAGGTGGAAGGATCACCTGAGCTCAGAAAGGTCAAGACTGCAGTGAGCCATGATGATACTGCTGCACTCCAACCTGGGGGACAGAGCGAGACTCTGTCTCAAAAAAACAAATAGGCTAGGCGCAGTGGCTCACACCTGTAATCCCAGCAATTTAGGAGGCCTAGGCAGGCAGATTGCCTGAGCCCAGGAGTTCGAGACCAGCCTGAGCGACATGGTGAAACCCCATCTCTACTAAAATTACAAAAATTGGCTGGGCGTGGTGGCTCACGCCTGTAATCCCAGCAGTCTGGGAGGCCGAGGTGGGCAGATCACGAGGTCAGGAGATCAAGACCATCCTGGCTAATACAGTGAAACCCCGTCTCTCCTAAAAATGCAAAAAATTAGCCGGGCGTGGCAGCACGGGCGCCTGTAGTCCCAGCTACTTGGGAGGCTGAGGCAGGAGAATGGCGTGAACCCAGGAGGCAGAGCTTGCAGTGAGCAGAGATCGTGCCACTGCACTCCAGCCTGGATGACTGAGCTAGACTCTGTCTCAAAAAAAAGAAAAAAAAATACAAAAATTAGCACGGTGTAGGGGCCTGTGCCTTTAGTTTCAGCTTCTGAGGATGCTGAGCTGGGAGGATCGCTTGAGACTAAGAGGTAGAGGTTGCAGTAAGGTGAGATATAACCACTGCACTCCAGCATGGGTGACAGAGCAAGACCCTGTCTCAAAAAAAACAAACAAAAGAGATAAATATTCTTATTTTAAAGCAAAATGAATTATTTTTGTAAGATAAACATGACTGCTTTAAAAAATACTTTAACTGTGCTAGCATCTAAATCTTGTCTTATTTTCTGTCTGTAGCCTCATTGAGAACAGAAATTAAATGAATTTAGTTGACCCAAGATCTGTTTTTTTAATACTGACCAAAAAGGCCAGGAGGAATGGAGTTGCCAAAGGCAAAGTCTCATTTAGCCATTCCTGGTTCTCTTCTTAGGCTCTTTATAGGTGCCACAGTCACCTTTTTGAGATCTGGAATCCAGGAAGGGTTAAGGGGTTGTTGGGGGGATATAATATTAATAAGATACAGTTATATATCATAATATTTTAATGTAATATATAATATCTCTATATTCTGTATCCCTACAGAAGATACCTTTGCCGAGTATGTTTCCTGACTCGGTGTGGGCATCTTTAAGTACATTACTTGTTGCAGACTTCTTAATCTTAACCTTGCTATTGATAGCCTTTCCACCCCTCAAACTCTAACATATCAGTCTTGATGTTTTTTCTCCCTCTTAATCATTTTTCAGAGTGATCTCTGAAATTTTGTTAAAGATAAAAAAGATAAGACCTCTAAGGGATCAGATTGACTTCTGATAAACAGTAAGCTATGGTAAAATTAGAATAGCTAGTATATTTTTAGAGAAAAATAGACTTCTAATGAATTTCAAAGCAAAGAAAGTACAAAGTAGTTACTTTTTAATGTGATTATACTTCTGTTTAGTGGTATATATTAATTTCTAGTGTCAGCAATAAGAAAGGGAAACAATTACCAGTTACCTCCTGAGAATATTTTATCTGTTGTCACCTCCCCCCCAAAAAAAGGATGAACCTCAAAGTTTAATATTAAGTGAAAGAGGCCTGGCAAAGGAGAACATAATTTGTAATTCTATTTATATAAAATTCAAAACAATCAAAACTTAACTGTGGTTAGAAGTCAAGATAAAGGTTACCCAGGTTCGACTGGGGACAGAGCCAGTGCCTGGAAGTGAGCATGAGGGGGATTCAGAGGTTCTTTTTCTTGATCTGGTTGCCAGTTACATAGATGTATTTACTTTGTGCTGTGCACTTACGATTTGTGTGCATTTCTAAAAATGTGTTACACTTCAAGAAAGGTTTTATTTGTAAGAGGCTATTCTCAAAAACTAAGTAAAATTGGTTTGAGAAAAAAAAAATGTGATTATATTCCATTTATTTAGCTTTTCCAGGAGTGTAATGATGCATAGGGTTAACCTGGGAAACAATATCCCTAATGGAAGTGTCACTTCAGTGGTCTCTTCATCTAAAGAAAGTCTTTATGTCAGTAGGAAAAAATATTATGGCTGAAAATGGCATCTTACCCTTTGCTAAACTGAAGTGATAACAAAATGGGATGAGGGTGGGAGGACTGTTTAGCAGAAGAAAAATGCTAGAAAAGGAAGTCTTCAGAATTTCGTAAGCAGAAATAACTTTCCAGTATAAGTTCAAATGGTTGCAGTAGTAATTTAGACTGTAAAGTGAACCACTGCAGGGACTTCAAGTGGTGAGTTGCATTTGGAGTGAGAATTTTATTGCTGCAGAATTTTCTTTTAAGATTTGAACTTCCAATAAAATGAGATCTACTTATGTCTTAAATGTGTCCATCCTTCTGTTGATTCAGTTGATTGATATTTAGAAGGGAAAAAGATCATTAATTGCTGACTTTTTCTTTCTCTTTTTGAGGCCTTTATAAGACGCTGTTTGGCATATCGAAAAGAAGATCGATTTGATGTGCACCAGCTGGCAAATGACCCATACCTTCTCCCACACATGAGAAGATCAAATTCTTCAGGAAACCTACACATGGCTGGGCTGACAGCATCCCCTACGCCCCCTTCTTCAAGCATAATTACTTACTGACTTTCCTCCAAGATTGGCATGATATCTTTGAATTGCTTCCAGATGCACACTTGAGTTTGAGAGCATTTGAGTGTTTTTTTTTGTTGTTTTTTTTTTTGTTTTTTTTTACACAAGACATGGTTAAGAACTGTTTGTGAACTGAAGTTCCTCATAGTATCATTTGTATGAGAGTGGATCATGGACAATGAATAAATGCACACTTCTGACTATAATTTTGAGCAGTGAACGATGACTGCCTGTTACAAAGAAACAGGAATACCATGTTAAGATAGAAGAAAAAACTTTGTTTATTTGGGGGAACACTGTAAATAACGTTTATAATAGTTAAATACATTTGGTTGTTACTAGAGAGTTCTAATATGAAGGGTAGTTTTTCATTATTTAAAAACACATGGAAAAATAAGAGACATATTTCTAACATACGAACTATAGTGCCTGGATACATTCTTCAGCATTTGGCAGTTAATCTGCTGAAACCAAAGTAAGAACTGAATGACAGTGACAGTTGTGTTTTATAGTAATAGAATGTGAGAGTTAGAATCTTTGGACAAAGTTAGGCTTTGTCATTTGCCTATTCTGGCTTTTACCAAGTTGTACCTCGAGATCACATGTCCGTTTTCTTTCACTGGTTATATTAAAGGGAGAGCTATTATTTCTAAATACTTTACACTTTTGACAAAATGAGCTGCTTGTTTTGAAATCAGTTGAATTCACTAAATTATAATATTGCCAGTGTTTTCAACGTGTTAGAATTGATAACAGGTATTTTTCTTTTGTTACCAGGCCTTGTTCATCAAAACAGGTGACAGTATGTAACCAAATGCAGACCAGTTCTATGCAGGATAATGATAAATTCCCTTCTAGCTCTATTGTAAATTGTTGTACAGATGTCATATTTCAATTACTAAGTTTCAGCAGCTTATTCTTGTACAAATGTTTAAAATATGGCTTTTCTAATTGGATATTGTATTTTTTTTAAGTCTTCTTGAAGGCGCTCTAATTGCTGCTAAATGATGTTGCTTCTTTGCTAAAAAAATTAAATGACCTAGAAGGTGCAAGTTGACTGTACATCATAGAGAGATATTAAAAAGCATACAGTCATTAACAATCAAGACGTAAAAGTGATCCATGTTGGACATAATTGAGTTTTTTAAATCAGTTTATTGGGTTCTAGGGCTGTGGAGCACATAGATACTAGATTTATAATTTGTTCATGGTTATTCTGCATTTCTAGAAAGTTCTTATCAGCAAGATGGTCCCATAAACAAATTTCTTGTGGTTTGTACAGATTTGTTAAAATGTGAACATTTTCTAACTGCCTTGTAGGGTAGAAACCATATTTTTCAGGATGCTGTATTTCACTCCTGTAAGGACTTTTTCTTTATTGTCACATTCATAATGCTGATACTTACATGTAAGTTGTTCATGTTGCAGAAAAAGGAGGTTATACTTACCACGGATTCTCTTTAATATTGTACAGTTAAACTGTATTTCTGATGTTGCAAGCCATTTTGTTTTTTCATTGTACATAGACACATTGTCTCTTTAAAATGCTGCTGAAATTGTAGAGAATATAGCCAAAACAGTAATAAACAATGACAGTTAAAATGTAAAGACTATGAAAATGACATTGGAAGGGAGCTTTCAAGATGGTAGGATATTGACTGACTGAGCTCCTTTACTTAAAAATCAGCTGAATAAATTCCTTAAGTATACTTCAAGACAAGTGTAAATTGTTTCAAGCTGTTAAAGTTAAACCTAATAACCATTATCAAGGCAACTCCTGGGTAAGTAACACTTAGAACTATCAAGAGTGGTTTAAGGGGCCGGCTATACCCATTCCTCTGTAGAGCAGATAGAAATCCTATTAAAAAAATACTACACGGTAATGAAATCTTAGCATTGATTGAGTGCTTTAGGTGCTGCCTGCAAGTTTTCAGTTTTGTTGTTGGAGTTTTCATCTTTATGAATTATAAAGTCCTGTGTTCATAAAGTAACATTTCAATTCCTGAACTAAAAGAAAATGCCCAGTTTGCTTAAAATTTGGGGGAGATACGAAGTTAATGTGTAAATCTAACTTTGAGGTTCAGTCAGTGTAATAGTATAGACCTAGAGATCACTGCTTTACCATTTTACTTTCAAATGAGTGAGAGCGACTGCTAGTGTCAGAACGCAGGAAAGGGGAAGAACAAGCCCTGAAATGAAGTTGCTTTCTTGACCTGGGTTTAGGTCATCATTTTTAAATCAAAGATGTATAGGAGATGAATCAACTTACAGACCCGTGTTTTCCTTCTAAAAGTTTCCCAAAGAAATGTTATAGATTTTGAATAACATGCCAGTGATCCAGCAGGTCCAAGATGGCTAATTGAGCCACATTGAATAACTTACTTTTACCCTCACATGGAAAGTTGGTATCTATTGCTAAATGATTTCAAGGTCACTCTGACAGTCTTTGACACTATTTTTTTAGGCTTTGATTGTTTTCTAGTCTCCTGGTGTCTGTCCTCAGAATTAAAGCGTGTCCTACATCCCTAAGATAAGAGCCAAGGCCTCTTTTAAGAGTCAGCACTGATACAGCGTAAAATCTACGGTTTTGCATATGATTTAAAAAAATCTTTCTTTGATTTGAATTTGCTTTAGTGTGTACATGTTGAGAGGAAGTAAGTGTAGAAACCACCCTAATTTGTAAGTGGGGAGTTGGAGATACTTGGTAGTTTTTCAAAAATACTCAATCTTTTTTTTCCCTTTTCTTTTTAACACTCACTGCCATCTCCTTCTAAAACAACTCTATCAGTTTAAATGGCATATAAAATGTGAACAAACACCTCATTACATGAAGTCAAAATGGTGTAGAGCTTCAGTGAAACATCTGAAGAGTATATTATGTGTTGTTTTGCTGTTCATCATTACTTATTAAATGCAGTAATGTTGATTGCCCTCATGCCATTGTGTATTAGTGGTAAACAGTACAGTTCACCTAGATTGTTTTTTTTTTTCTGTTTACAACCTAGATTGTTAATGTACTCATAAAATTTAATTACATTGCTGTTTGATTTTTGTGTGAATGTTATAACCTTAACTTACACATTTAAAAGCCCATTGACAGGTCTTTCTCTAATTCTGCCTTACGTTTTGTCCTGTTATCTGATGATTTTTCTTCTACATATATATACTAAATTTCAGTGTTCTGAAGATTTAATCTAATTCAAAAAGTGCTTTTAGGCCGGCAGTGATGGCTCATACCTATAATCCCGGCACTTTGGGAGGCCGAGGCAGGTAAATCATTTGAGGTCAGGAGTTGGAGACCACCAGCCTGACCAACATGGTGAAACTCCATCTCTACTAAAAGTACAAAAAAATTAGCCAGGTGTGGTGGTGTGTACCTGTAATCTCAGCTACTCAGGAGGCTGAGGCAGGAGTTTTACTTGAACCCCAGAGGTGCAGGTTGTAGTGAGCCGAGATCACACTACTGCACTCCAGCCTGGGTGACAGGCTCAAAAATAAATAAATAAATAAAGTACTTTTAGCAGCTAGTTTTAGAATTAAATTGAAATTCTAGTTCCTGTGTTTCAGTTCATTCTGCAGCAGTTTTAGAATTTGTATAACTTGTTTTTCAATTTAAATTAGATGTATTTCCTACAACAAAAACATCTCCATTTACCTTCCCCTACTTTCCCTTCATTCCTTTTCTCTTTTGTGAGGATTCCCTACCTTCCCTCCCCCGCTCCATCCCCGGGAATTCTATAATTTTTGAAAGGGAAAGATTTGAGTAAATGTGTTTAAATCAACCTTTAAAGTTATTTGCAGAGAGCCAGAGAATGGGGTGGAAGAGTTATTTATAGTTAGGACAAAAATGCATGGCTTTCACCTGGAAATCTTCATTTGTCTAAAATAATAGGGATGTGGATTATCTACACACATATGACTGGTTTTGTTTTTGTTTGAGGCACGGTTTCACTCTGTCACCCAGGCTGGAGTGCAGTGGCGCCATCTCGGCTCACTGCAACCTCTGCCTCCTGGGCTCAAGCTGGGACTACAGGCGTGTGCCACCACGCTCAGCTAATTTTGTACTTTTTGTAGAGATGAAGTGTCACCATGTTGCCCAGGCTGGTCTTGAACTCCTGGGCTCAGGTGACCTACCTGCCTGGGCCTCCTAAAGTGCTGGGATTACAGGTGTGAGCCACAGTGCCTGGGCCATATGACTGTTTTAAGAAGAGCAATAAAATAGGTTAAGATATCAATTTTTTTGAACCAGAGTCTTTGGATTAAAATGTTGACTAACATTTACTACCTGTGTTTCTGGTTCCTCATCTGAAAATTAGGAGTGATAACTACCCATCGTGCAGAGTGACTGCAAGGAAGGAATAAGTGAATTCACGAATGTAACACACTCAACCTTGCCCAGCTCACAGTAGGTACTGTATCTGATAAGCTGCTATTGTCATCCCTTTTTAAAACTCCAAGATTATTCTGTTAGCCCTATTTATAAAATTCAGTCTGCTTTGCTTCCTGTGGTAATTTTAATTATTTTAAGAAATAACTTTCACAGTGCTTGACTGAGGTTTCAAACAAGTGATGATTCGATTGTCTGGAAATGGAAGGTGAGGAAATGTAGCAATTTGAAACAAAAAGTAGTAGCTGTGTGTGTGAACTAATTGCCAAAAGGACCATGCCCTGTTGGTGCTGTTTCCTCACAGATATCTGTCATATTTTCCAGAGTTTCCTTGCCAGTAACAGCTGATTGAGGTAGGACAGATGACAGTATCCCTGTTTTACAAAGGAGGAGACAGATTTGGAGGGGGGAATAACTTGCTAAAGCTGCATAACTAGTAAGCACAGCTTTTGGAGCCTTGGAGCAAGGTTCTTAACTATGTTAACATCTTAGTATATAGTAAACATGGCTTAGTGAGTTAAATCTCATCATGACTCTTCAAAGGTGACAGCCAAATAGCTACAAACATTATTGTCATCTTTTTAAAAGAGCAAATCTAAAGGTTTTTTTTTTTTTTTGAAACAGGGTCTCTGTCACTCAGGCTGGAGTGCAGTGATGCAGCCTCAGCTTACTGCAGCCTTGACCTCCCGGGCTCAAGCCATCCTCCCACCTCAGCCTCCCAAGTAGCTGGGGCTACAGGTTCATGACAGCATATCCGGCTACTTTTTTTGTATTTTTTGCAGGGGCTCACCGTGTTGCCCAGGCTGGTCTCAAACTCCTGGGCCAAGTGATCCACCCACTTCAAAGTGCTAGAATTACACGCCTGCCCTACGAATGTTTCCAGTGTTAGATGAAGAATGAGTCACTAGAGAGCAGACCCCTGCCACAGACCCATTCTAGGTAAGATGGAGAGTGGGTTGCACCTTTTTCTGTTCTTACATCTTTTTCCCTTGCATTTTTAGTCAAAGATCAGGTCCATCGATGAGCTACCCCATTCCACCTGTCTTACAGAAAGTACCTCACGGAGGTCTTCTTCTGCCCACTGTCACAGGCACAGAAAGTACACCTGGCTCCTCTTCCTGCAGTGGTACCAGTTGGTTTAAAAAAAAAAAAAAGTCGGGCGCAGTGGATCATGCCTGTAATCCCGAAACTTTGGCAGGCCGAGGTGGGTGGATCACCAGTGGTCGGGAGTTCGAGACCAGCCTGACCAACATGGAGAAACCCTGTCTCTACTAAAAACACAAAATTAGCCAGGCGTGGTGGTGCATACCTATAGTCCCAGGTACTCAGGCGGCTAAGGCAGGAGAAACGCTTGAACCCGGGAGGCAGAGGTTGCGGTGAGCTGAGATTATGCCATTGCACTCCAGCCTGGGCAACAAGAACAAAACTCCGTCCCCCCCAAAAAAAAAGTTTAACTGACTCCAGTAAGTCAGTAACTCCTCTAAAGGAAGTCCTGAAACTTTGGAGAGAGATTTCACTAATTACCAGTTCACCAATATATGGCCCCTGAACATTGTATCTCGAAGTCTTCTGAATCTGATGAAATTACCTATGTGTAGTGTTCTACCACCAAGATCACAAATGGGTACTTCTGATTGCATCAGGTGACTCTACTTGGGTTTAAAATTTCTGTATGTAATTATGTTTAAGATTCTCTATGTGATCCATTTTCACCTGAAAGACCTTAGATTGTTCCCAGAACTATATGCCTTGGGTCAAATAGTGTATGTGCACGACCAGCATCCCACCTGTTCTTGATTGGGTGTGTGGTATGTCACAAGGGTACTAAGGTCTTACTTCTGTTATATGACAGACATCAAACTCAGATACTAAAATTACCTGATCCAAAGAATGAGCATGACTGATTTGTCACTAATATTAGTCATGTTTTTGGTGTTTCAAATGATCTTATGTCATATTGCATCCTAAGAGCATCTCTTTATGTCCGCTACTTGCCAAATTCATAACTTCCTCTTGAGATATTTAGAAAGATGAAAGTGGAAGAAAGCATGGGTTTGGAAGTCTGACCTGGCTTTGCCTCCCAGCTTTGTTACTTAATAACATGTGACCTTGCAGAAATCACTAACCTTTCTGGGGTCTTATTTTCCTTGTCTGTAAACTATTTCAATAGCACCTGCCTCATGGGAACTAAGAGTGGGGCTCAGTTGTTTTCCCAACTTATAATGGCACGGGCTGCAACAAAATGGAACAAATGCCACAGACGCAGAAGACAGATTCAAGAGGCCCCTATCAGAGGGTCATTATGTGTTTTGTATTTTTGGGGGGTTGGACCTGAGAATGGTTGGGAGATGTGAGGAGGAGTTGCTCAGGAGACTTGGCAGCAGTCTCCTACCTACTGGCTTGGAAGTTTTCTGTATTTAACCCATGTCTGTGCGTAACTGCTTAGTCTGAGCCCTGCCTGTCTTCTTGACTGTGGCACGCTCTTTAATGCCTCCTTTCCCCACTCCAGTACACACAGCTGTTGTGGAAGTGTGCATGTCCACCAAGGCGGAACAGGACTGCTGCAGGTTGGGGTCCCAACTGGTCTGTGTTTTCATCACTTTGGGGATGCTGTTTAGATCCCAAG